CCCCAAAACCCCAAAACCCCAAAACCCCTTTGGATTTTAGAAATATTGAAATAGATTTTACACAAGAACTGGATTAGGGAGAAGCTTGAGGAAGGTTTTTGGCAAGCCGAGAATGTTCGTCTACTTCTTCGAGTGGAATTGATCTTGTTTGGAGCTCTATTGAGTTGGGGAGAGAGTTTAGACACTCGAGGTTGACGAATTGTTGTTTGTATGAGAGTAAATATTTGAGAATTCCGAAACAGATTAGGGATGATAGACCCAGGATTCAGAAGAAGAGGAGGATCATGCCGAAAGCTATTAGGTATATATCAGCTTCTTCAAATACATCCATCTCTTGGCCTATGTAGCCTGTACCAATCTTTGTTCTGGTGTATGAGAATGTTCCGCTTTTAGATTTTTGGTGGTAGGTACTGCTGGAAAGACTTTGTTGCCAGGTTCTAACTACATCTTGTATTAAATAACAACTGAGGTAATACTGTAGAGAAAAAACAGCAAATTGGATAATGATGATGATGATAGTTGTAGTGATTAGCTTCTGAGAGGCTTTTAAATTCTGAGGTTGTTTTAATTTTCGCAAATAATACCATCCTTGAAACATAAATAATAAATCACGGATTGCGATCAATATCCTCTCTCCGAACAAAAATCCTTGTGATATATCAATTTCTTCTCTAAAAGAATCTGCTTCAATGACTACTTTTTCAGGTTCAGCAATGAGAATATCAAAGATTTGCTTAAAAAAACCTCAAATGCCAATAAAAATTAGAAAATAGGAAAACTTTCTGATATATTTCCTTTTAGCAATGATGGTATTTTTTGCTTGATATATCAACATTCTGTTCTGTTTGGCCTGCTCTTTGGGTGATATATACCTAGAATTTCTTAAATCTCTTACATTTTAGCCCCATTTTCACCAATAGTTCCGTAATCAGTATCAGGAGCCACTTCTTTTACAATTTTGTTAAGATCCATTTTTTACTTATTATCCTTCCAATAAATTTATCGAAGATAGGGGTTTTGGGGTTTTGGGGTTTTGGGGTTTTGGGGTTTTGGGG